TTTTTTTGAAAGGTATACAATCGTTACCGAAGAAATCAAAATACTGAAATTTGATCAGATACTGAAATTTGTTTTTATTGTTGCCAGTTGCGCCTTCTTCAGTTGTATGTTGTTATATTTCAATAGTATTTATTATTACTTTGCAACCTTCAATTGGCTTTTATTCCTTAAAAAGGATTTTCTTGAAACGTATATTAGAGGAGGCCATTACAGGATATCTGATACATTAAGTAAATCGAAATCTGTACTTTAAAAGATAAAAATCGTTTGGGTAATTTCTCAGAGCATGCATGACACTGAAATAGACTTTGTTTACGAGACCAATGACAAAAAATGATTTTGTCTGAAACATTATCAAGCTATATCGTTGTTTATATAATAGTATTATCTAGTTTTGTAAAGCTGTTGTATCATTTATTCTAGGCATATGTAAATCTTTTGCATCTTGGTATATGGGATTTCGTTGTCACTTTAAGCGAGGATGACGTTCTACTCAGAAATATAGATGATTTAGCCATAGCCTTAGCCCCCTATCGAGGTATGTGTCTTATTAATCAAAATACTTGGGGTGGAAAGCGAAAAACAGTGACTGTCGAACTTTTTCAGAGGTAGAGCATAGTCATGAAAATGATCTGCCCTACTTTTATGTTTAAGATTTATTAAAAAAAAATGTTCTCTTTTTTTAAAGTTTGTTTTTCCTTTGGAACACGTAGTTTTTAGAATTGTCGCATAATCTTTTCTCTAATATATAGTTTTTATATGTTATTCTGTTTACATCCGACGATTTGAGTAACGATTATAAAGCGACGTATTGGAATCCAAGAACAGTTTTGTTCTCAGTTGTATCAGTTTAAAATTTGAGCACTCTATTTCTTCGGATAGTAGTCGAATTTTAATTGATGATAAATTGTGTTTCGTAATTAAAGGACGCTAAATTCTGCAACAAAAGAATTGTATTGTCATCAGGCAAGGAACTCCGGTAAAGATTTTAATGACATAATTTGTCATTTCGTTCCATCACTTTGTTACAAAGAATTCCGAGGTTCAGAAGCAAATTAAAACGGTTTGTGACTGCATCTATTTAAAGTTTCCTAACTACATGCACATCCTTTTCAATGCTGATTAGAAACTCGTTTACGGGCTTAAAGGTTCCTGGTCAGATCTTAAACCAGGAGGTGGTTCGATACCTATTAGTAGCTAATAAACATTTCACCGTCTTTCATCTACGATGGTAATTACGGAAACGAACACATACGTATCTTATTCCTCCTCAAATAGAAGCAGCATTACATTATCTCGTTCTTTGACATGAAAATGAGAACTGTATATAACGATTTCACTCAGAATAATGTAGCCTCTCAATTACGCGTAAACTTTCACGGCTGACAACGAGTCAGATTTTTTCATTCACTAGATCAGTGTTTCCCAAAGTGTGGTACGCGTACCCCCAGGGGTACGGGAACAATTTAGCGGGGGGTACGCGTTCTTATGCGAAATATCT